GGTACTCTAGGACAAGATCCAACTCAGATTATGCAGTAACAAATCTCTCACCCCACTCGGAGTTAAGTGTTAGGCAGAGGACATGGAGAACTCACTGCATAGCTTCCCCGGGCCCTGTGGCTGGGCATCCTTCTCTCATCATGCATAAATTTGAAGAAGGCTCACTTTAAAAGAGTAGCACAGTCGTCCTGCTTACTAACTCTACGCCATCAGTGCTAAGAGCATATGGTGTCATGGGCCACCTTCCCTGCTCCTACCTGTCCTGACACTCTGCACTCACTCATTGAACAGAGAGTCCACACAGACTTACTGACACAAGAGTCCACCAATGAGGGTCGCCATTCCCATCCCTGTTTCACTAGCACTTTTGAATAAATTTGAGTCCTGAAGTTCTGGCTGTGTGCATTGTCAATGTTAGGGCTATTATTTTCATTTCTTAGCTTCTTAGACAGTTTATGAGTAAAGATACTTGGAAAGGATTTTAGCTCCTTAGCCATGAAAGGAAATAAACAATCAAAAATCTTCAACATACTGTCTCCCCCTTTCCACCAAACTCACATCCTAAGCGATGGCTTAATGTAGCATCCATCAGAGTTCAAAGATGCCATTTGGTAGTAGGAATGCAACTTCTAATTACACAGCCTTGTAATGTTAGCAACTATTTAAAAACTTCCCTAAAATGCTAAAACAGGTCACGAACTATATCAGAGGCCAGATCTTATGAGCCTTTCAAAGACTCTTTTTATAAAAGATTTGGAAAGATTAAAAGAAACACACTCTACCCATAATAGTTCCTGCTCAGTCAGTCTAAGGTCCCATTAAACATGAGAAAAAGACTTTTATTTTCCATGCTCCAACTATGAATTTCTACTTTTCCACAATTATATCACTAGCTATTTTACTTTTAAGTGCTTTCATATTTATTATCTCATTTTATCTTTAAATATGCTGAGGAGTTATATATAAAAATGAAATAACAGCTCCATTGTTCCTTTGGACAGGAGTGATAGTCAAGCCCTCATCTTTCCCTCTCTCAAAGGTCAAGTGTGCAGAAGTCAACAACTAGGATGTAGGGCATAGGAACAGAGATGGGTTTGCCACAGTGGTCACGAGGGAAGGAAGAGGGGACAGGTCCAGATGGAAGGATGCAGAGAAGGAACACAAGGAAACAAGGGCAACGGGATAAAAGCAATGCTCTTTTTCAATTTTCAGAAAGTATTAGAGATTTCTGAATTTGTATGTGGAGTGGGAAAGGAAAAAACACATTCTTTGTGTGTGTGCTCAACCTTATCACACAGCAGAGGCCAGGAGACTGGAGAGGGTACCATGTCAAGTCATCATTTGCATAAATGTGTTTCAGAGCAGTGAATGTCTATCAGTGACTTTCACCAAAAGGTCAGCACATACAAATTCTGAGAAGTCCACCCTCAGCTGTGATGCTGACATGCTCACAGCACAGAGGTAAAATGTACCACTTACCAGGAAAAATGAAACTGAGAATGACGGCCAAGGAAAGTGACTCATGGGATTTGATCAAGTTAAGTGGACCAAGTCAGAAGCTGTGCCACTGCATACATGCAACATGGTGATGGACATACCAGTTATACTGAACCCATCATTACAAGTGTTCATGTGCATTGTAAAAATCAGACTTTAATGTCCCATCAAAACATTTTAAAAATCAGAAAAATGAATTAATTATCTATGAGCAGTGAGGCTGATTTTCCCCCACAGAAACTGTTCTTTTTTAGAAGGAGCCAACTTGGAAGAAAATCTGTCTCTTAGGCAATGTAAGAACTGACCACAATATAAAATGAACAACCATTAGTCTGCATTAAAAAGAAACAGAGAATGTTAGGGAAGTCAACTATAGAATTACAAAAAATATGTCAGACACAGATCAAGGCAGAGATGTGAAAGGAATCAATAATTTGTGTTTTGAAAGAATTCCAGGACCAAGCATTGTGGTGTAGCAGGTTAAAGCCATTTGTATCAAAACTCCAGTTTTAGTCCTGGCCACTCTGTTTCTGATACAGCTTCCTGTTAATGCATCTGGGAGGGACTACTGCCCGAGGGGGAGACCTGGATGGGCGGGTTGCCTCCTGTCTGCAGCCTGGCCCACTGCGGACTGTTGTGGCCATTTGGGTCATGAACAAAGACCTCTTTCTGTCCCCTTCCCGCCTTTCCTCCATCTGTCCCTCTGCCTTTCAAGTAAATAAAATTTTGGAATTACTCAAAGAACACCCAGATTATAGTACTCACTGAGTAGCATTACTGTAAGTGGGAAAACAATTGGGCATGCTTCATAAAAAACTAATGGTTTGGGCAGGCATGGAGCTGTGTCAGGTTATATCTCCAGCTGGGGCTCTGGCATCCCATATGGGCATGGGTTTGAGTTCCAGCTGCTTTATTTCCAATCTACCTCCCTACTAACGACTTGGGGAAGCAGTAGAGGATGGCTAAAGCCCTTGGGCCCTTGCACCCAAGTGGGAGACCTGGAAGAAGTTCCTGGTTCTAGGCTTCCGGCTTTGGAATGACCCAACTCCAGCAGCTGCAGCCATTTGGGAAATGAACGAAAGGATGAAAGATTCTCTATCTCTTTCTTACTCCCTCCTTCTCTCTCTTTTTCTCTTCCTTTTTCTCTCTCCTTCCCTCTTTCTGTAACTCTGTCTTTCCAACATAAGGAAAAGAATGATTGAAAACAGGTTCAGTTCTTCTGTGAAACCATTCCATGAAGTTGTGATGTTTTGACAGAAGTGACCCTGGAGATGAAGAAAGGATTTCCACTGGCTCATTTTCGATGGAAGATAGAACATTCAAGTGACTTCTGGAACAAAAGTACCTTTACCCCAGATGCCTGTGCCTTCCTTTCCAGCTGGAACTCTGCTTCCTCAGTCACTGCCCAGGCCCACTGCCTTGTTCTCGTGTCACTATCTCTAGGTTTTTCAGCAAGCACTTTAAAATTGATCCAATTTCACTCAAAATATTAGCTGTGGAACCTCCTGTGTTCAATGTGTTCCCTACTTGAATTTTTGCTGTCATGAATTGAATAATCTGATTATTTTTGTGGGAGACTTTTGGTAAAAAGCATAGTGAGACCATTCTCAACCAGCCAATTATTCTAAGGCCACTGATGGTGACAATAATGACATTCACTGCTTATTAAATGTGTACCATGTGCCAGGTACCACTATCTTATCTTTTCAATACTATCTAACTTAATTCTCACAAGAATCCTGTGGAGCAAGTGCCTCGTCTAACACAGCCTCGTGTTAAGTGGGGCTCCAGGGATGTGGTGGGACTTCCGGGCCTGTACATTGAATGCTGTGTCTGCAGCTACCTTTGAACTCCAATGGCCAAACTGAGCAGTTGTGACACAGAACATAGGGCCTAGTTGGGCTAAATTATTTATTATCTGGCCATTGTAGAAAAAGCTGACCAATCACAGGCAAGATCATTTGCACAGCTTCAAATAAAACTTACACTGAAACTTTCTAAGGGAAAAAAATGTTGTCTTCTATGTTCTTTCATCTGTATCTAACCTTACTTCTTCTCACCCAAGTTGACCACCCAACATAACAAAATATACAGTTCAGTAACTCAATGTTTCACTAGGTGAGTTTTGATTAGGCAGAAAAGTTTCCAGGCAAGATAGAAGGAAGAAACTAGATCAAAGAAAACTTTAAACAACCATGCGTTCCTGAGAGATTGTTGAAGTTTTGGCTGTTTCACAGGTATTTCTTCTTGAGTACAAATGACATCATGTTTGAAGTAAAAAAAGAGAGAGAGAGAGAGAGAAATTGGCTTACTTTATTCTACATTTGGTGCCACATATTGTTTTGGTTGAGCATCAGTTGACTTTTCTATTTTTACCGGGAAGTTGTGTCCTAACTATTTTTAATAGACAGTGTCTGGTTCTGTCATGTGTGGAACTCAATCATGCTCAGGCTTTAGATTTCTGTGAGGTTCTAGGAATGCATGTATTTGTGGAGGACATATTCATCAGCTCACATTCTGCTAGGCTCTGAAAAAGGTTGTAGAGGAAGGCTCTAAAACGGGAGACAGTTACAAGCAAAGGAAAGAACTGGGCATCTTTCAAGGTAGCGAAGTGAGTGTAATTTGCATACATAATTTCACCCTTGAAATGTGAATAAATTTAATCATAAGTTGTCAATAAGCTAAATCTGGGTTCCTCTGCTAATTCTTACTTGATCCTTGAAAACCAACCTCTAAATCACAGCCAGGTGACTCACTGAATTCCCACAGGATGTGACCTGGCACATGAGCTGAGCTCAGTACATAGAAGACTTCATGCAAGTGATATGTAATTATACTAATTATTTGCATGCAATGATTTAAGTAAAATCGTTTACTATAAAAGTGAACAGAAAGGAAAACCTGAGGCTAGGCAAAGTCCACCATCTGTGGTTGTTCACTGCTTTTCAGTTCCTTCACACAAACACCAGCCCAGCACGCCTCAATGACTCCCAGCTTGAGCACCCCAAGAATCTCCCAGGGCCATGCAACAATTTCACCATCCCCAGCAGTGAAATCCCCATTTCGGAAGGCGGAACCCACGCTCCCACAGCTTTAGAAGCTCTCAGGCACCAGGAAAGAGTTGTGATTAAGGTCAAAGTAGTTGACAGTCGGGGTAAAAAGCACCTGACACTCATACATGAGGAGGCTTGAAGCCCTACTCCATCCTCATCTGTTTTCCCAAGCATAAGGAACTCTGAGCTACTCGGCACAGGACTTACAAAAACACCACTCTGTTACGGCCACAACACCATCATTCTTGCTCTCAACACACAAATCATTTGTTAGTGCAAATGCCAAAAGGATTTTAACCTGTGAGCACAGCTCGAGGGTTTCTCTGAAATTACGGCTGGAGTTTTCAGCATGCCGCTGCACCACAGGAGGCCCACTCCCAACACCTGCTTTGGCATGTGTTTTGGCATTTCTCCTGCATGAACCACCTTTGAAAGTCAAGTTTGCCTTACCTCCACGATGCTTTTTAAATCCTGCACATAGGTCCTTTCAGTCTCTAGAATCTCCTGGACCACTCTATCCACATAGAGAAGCTTGGGGCTGGTGGCAGAGTCCGCCGGGGCTTCAGGCACTCCACTTGTGTCCCCACTCCATTGGGCGCTGGGCTGCCTTGTGCTGTCCTCATCCATGTTCTGTTGCCCAGCAGGGACATCCCTTGGCAGCTCGCTGCTGGAAAACGGCCTTGCTGGCATCAATTCCAGTTTGATGGCCCCTGCTTCCTTATCTTGGTGAAACAGGCCCAAGTGGCTACTGGAAACCAAGGTCATTCTGCTACCAAAGGAACCGTGGCTGTCCCGAGAAGAAGCCGAGGAGGAGGTGGAACCAAAGCTGACAGGTCGGTCACTGTCGGAGAGCTCCATGGTTCTGGGTCCTGGGGAACAGGTGTTCTGGGCTGTTGTCTTGGGATCTGGAATTTCAGCTACAGCTGATGGGCCTCTGAGAGCCAATTGGTGCCCATCTACATGCATGAAAGAAAACAAAATGAAACAAGATAAGCAAGATAGGAAGTGAAAGGCTAAAAACTAGCCCACGTGTGTGTAGTCACCAGAAGGCAGCCATATTAGCCACGGCAGGTGAGTCAAAGGTGCCTGTGGTGTGTCACAATACAAAAATGGAGTTACAAAAAGCATCACCTGGGAGCCTGTTAGAACCGCAGAGACCTGGGCATTGTCCTGGGCCCAGGGAGCAGGAATCTGCATTTTAATTCGATCACAGTGCGTTCGTTACGTTTATTAGAGTTGGGGAAGCACAACAACTGGCCCTAGTCTCAAAGGGTGACCCTCTGGAATGACTCATGGGCAGATGAATCCAGATTTACTAAACGAAAGGTTCAACAGTCAGACCACAAGGAACCTACCCACTTCCACAAAGCACCAGAAGTGCTTTAGGAGTTATGAGAAATACCGCTTAGGGTTTTAAGTATTCTACCACAATTCCACAACACAGTAAGCTGGATTCATGGTAGCACTGTTACTCAACTGCATAGATGGGTGACCACTCAGCCTTTCTCTGTTCACACAGATGGTGGTTTTCTACACCAGGCAAGAAAAAAATATCCTGAAATATTAATACCACACCTCTTTAAAACATGACTTCTCACCACAACATTTTTCCAAATCTTTTCTTTAAAAACCGGCACTCCATTTGTGGCATTTATGGAATTGAGTTATTAGAGAGTTCTTTTGATTAACTATCACACTCCACAGGGAATGCTACAAAATGATAGTGTAATTAGACAATTACATCATAAATGCAGAAGCCAAATTATGAGAGGAATTAGGAGAAATGGGCTGTTACTGCTTAGAGAGGGACATGAGAGACCGTACATGAAGTCAAAAAGGTCACTTAATCCACAGCAGTACCATGTGATCTGGGGTCCTCTTAAGAGGGGCCAACAGGAAAAGCAAAGTTGGAGAAGCACTTGAGGGAATGGCAAGTTCTTATCTTCCCCTGTAAGGCAGAATCAGCATTTCCTCCCACAGCAACAGGACTGGAGCTCAGGATTTTAGGATCAGAGTGCTTTATGACAAAGCAGCGCACTTCATCAACAGCACTCACGTTGACAGTTTTGTTAGAAAAATAAAGTCATAAATGACACTCTCAGGAATAAGAATATAGATTAACTATCACTTTTTGATAGGAATATGAATTTATAGCTTTGAGTATAATTCAGGTCAGTTTGTACCAATGTCTTTAGAATACAAAGAATCCATCAAGACTTATCCTTCTACACACTTTTTGCAAACTATTAAACAGAGAGAGATTGAGATTTTTCCGTCTACTAGTTCACTCCTCAAATGTCTGCAACTTCCAGAGCTGGACCAGGCTGAAGCCAAGAGCCAGGAACTTAATCCGCATCTTCCATGTGGGTGGCAGGGACCCAAATACTTGAGCTATTATGTGCTGCCTGCCAGGTGCACATGAGCAAAAGGCTAGAATTGGAAACGGAGCCAGGAATCAAACCCAGCACTCTGAAACATGTTGCAGCATCTTAACTGCTGTGCCATACAGTGGCCCCCGACTTTTTCTATGAATGCAAAATTAATACAAAAGGGCCCGGCGCGGTGGCGCAAGTGGTTAAGGTCCTCGCCTTGCACGCCCGGGATCCCATATGGGCGCCAGTTCTATCCCGGCAGCCCTGCTTCCCTTCCAGCTCCCTGCTTGTGGCCTGGGAAAGCAGTCAAGGACGGCCCAAAGCTTTGGGACCCTGCACCTGTGTGGGAGACCCAGAAGAGGCTCCTGGCTTCGGACTGGCATAGCATGGGCCGTTGCGCTCACTTGGGGAGTGAATCATTGGACGGAAGATCTTCCTCTCTGTCTTTCCTCTCTGTATATCCGCCTTTCCAATGAAAAAATAATAAAAATTAAAAAATTAATACAAAATAAAATTGTGAATATAAAATAATCGATTCTGGATCAACCAGAAGGCACGGAAAAGGGAAAATACGTTAAGAAATACTTTTCTACATAACCATTACCAGCTGGTATGAGTTTGCAGCAAATTGAAGGCTTTTGAAATATTCTTTTTGTTTGTGCTACAACAACTTTATGGCCTATAAAACATCTATTGGTTAGTTGTTAAGATGCACTTGACCCAAAAACCTTGATTCAACTTGAGTGTGGCAAACGTCCAAGATGTAGTCATGTATTTCAGCCTGCTTTGCAGCAAAGGATGTTTGCCCCTGCTGGGGACTGGTGTTCACAACATCATGGGTGTTTCATATAACAAGGTTTTCTTCCCGCTGGCTTCTACCCTAACTGTCACCATTACGTTGATCTCAACGCAGGAAATGAGTGCTAACATGGGAACTTCATGAAGACTCTTCAAGGTTGCAGGAATCCAAGGGGGCTGATTTGGGACCACATGAAAGGTGGAAATATTTATCTGAAAGGCTAGAACATCCATCAAAAGCAAGATCAAAGAGCCCATCCCTCCTACCGCTGGGTACTGGCCTCCAGGGCAAGTTCTCATATTCTGTCTAGACATGGGTCAGTCTTTCCAGTGCAGGGAACTATTACATAAACCTTAATGCTGCATTGATTATCAGGGTTAGTTTAAAAGCTAACACAATAAGGTTGGCACTGTGATGCCCTGGGTTACGGCTGCTTGTGATGTCAGCATCAAATATGAGAGCCCCAGTTCAAGTTCTGGCTGCTCTGCTTTGGATCTAGCTTCCCGCTAAGCTGCCTGGGAAAGCGGTGAGAGCTGGCCCAAGTGCTTTAGCCCCTGCCAGCCACATAGAGGCCCAGATGGAGTTCCAGGCTCCTGGCTTTGTCCTGGTCATTTGGAGGACTGAAGCAGCAGATGGAAAATCTCTCTCTTTGTCCTTCTGCCTTTCAAATACATATAGTAGAGACTCATTCGTTTCTTATCATTTCTTTTCTCTGATTACTTTCTCTCCAAGTTAGAAAGCCCATACTGAGACTGAGGGATCAAACAGGAAATAAAATCTTTTTTTTTTTTTATTGTAATGAGGTACATGCTGGGCTGCTAGGAGTATGAGTGCCTTTCAGAACTCTGCTAGAGGTGGGGGAAAGCAGGATGTAAAACTTAGGCCAGACTGGTAGCCCATCCTAGCTTTGGAACGGTACCAAGTTGGGCTTTTCTGCCTTGCACCAGGCCACAGGTCTGGGCACACTTACCTTTTAGCCTGCTAACCAAGCACTTTATACAAACCAAAAGTCTTAGATATTGGTGTCTCTAGTATTGAGCCAAATGTGCTAGTCTAAACTAAATACCTTTGGAAATTACCAATGACACAAGTGAAACATTAAAAGGCAGGCTGTATAATAACAGGTAATATGAGAGTATATTTGCTAATGGATGTCATTTTTTATGTTGATTCATTGTTAGACAATAATTACAGTTTTCTCATATATGGAAATATATCTCATAAAAACCGTCTAGTCTTGTTCTCACCTCCCTCAAAATAATTGAAGATTTTTAACCTGTCTTGTCTGCTGTTTTCTGCTCCAGTTCCTTAATGATGAACACATTTCCCCAGACAACATGCTTAACACAGTAGCCACTGGCCACATACGGCTATGGAGCATTTAAGCAGTGGCCAGTTGAACAGAAGTGCTGTGTCAAACACATGCCTGAGTTCAAGGATGTTGTAGAAAAAGGTATGAAATACACCAAGAATGTTTATATCAATCACATGCTGACATAACATTTTAGAATAGTGACTAATACTCTTTATAAAATTAATTTATTTTTCTTTGAAAGGCAGAAAAGGAAGAGACAGAGAGGAGTATCTTCCATCTACTGTCTCACTTCCCAAGTGGCTGCAATGGCTGAAGCTGAACTGATCTGAAGCCAGAAGCCAGGAGCTTCCTCCAGGTCTCCCATGTGAATGCAGAAGCCCAAAGACTTGAGCCACCTCTGATGTTTCCCAGGGCACAAAGAGGGAGCTGGATTGGAAGTGGAACAGCTGGGACTAGAACCAGTGCCTAAATGGGATGCCTGTACCACAGACAGAAAATTACCTTGTTACAACAACCACCTTGCCCAATGACTCATACTCTTATCAAAATTATTTCCTCTAATTTCATGCTGCTTTTCCAATTTAGCTACTAGAAAATTAAAAATCACATCTACTGAGTGGTCAGGTTGCTGCTTACGATTCTCACATTTTATATCATGCTAGTTCATGTCCCGGCTACACTGCTTTCAATCTAGCCCCTGCTAATGACAGCACAAGCACTTGAGACCCCATCCCCCATGTAGGAGACCCAGGTGGAATTCTGAGCTCTAGGCTTTGATCTGGCTCAAAGCCAGCTGGTAGGACCAGCAAACAGGGGAGCTCTTTATCCCTCTCTGTCACTCTTTCAAATAAATCTTTAAAAATATTTTTAGAATTGCTTGTATGACCCATAAGCATATTTCAATCGGATAATACTGATCTAGAGGTAGTCTACATAATTATATTATTTTGCATGTCTTAAATTTATCTTCTTATCGACATTTGTTCAAATAATAGGGAATGAGGAGAGTCATGCAACACAAAGTATGTCTTTTTAAAAATTTCATTCATTAATAAGGAGTATGAGAAATATTCAACTAATGAATTATTTTTTTCATTAAACTTATCTTAATTTCTTTTTTCTACAAACCTTTTGAAGTCCTCTTATATTAGGAATGTGCAAAAACAGAACTGCGAGGTACTTCTGTAGCAAAGGCTTTTCCATGATGAACTGACACACTCAGACAAATGTTACAGTATGAACGCTTGTGCCTCTGCTTGGGTCAAAGATGCTGGCAGGTGTATTAATGTTTATGTAATTTTCTACTACCCTTCTCCTGAGCTCTCTCTCTGTTGAAATCCCAAACACAGGGCTGTTCACACAATAATTTTCAAGAACCTCTTCACAAACATTCCTAATGCCTTGCATGAGGAGGATCTCATGACCATAGATTTACCCTAAAGTAACTTGGCTCCACCCA